CCCGGTGGGGGGTGCCAGTGGCCTTGGAAGGGCCAGGGTCGCGATCAATGGTGAGTTGGGGGTCGGGGACGTGGGAAGGCCTAGTTCAGGGAGAGTCAGGGAGAAACCTCACGCCCTTGTCTGGAAATTCTTAAAAATGCCAAGGGTGACTCGGGGGTCTTTTGTTGAGGGGAGGGGGACCCAGGTTGGAATTGCAGGCGAATTGGAGGTCGGAAAGCCTTGGCCGAGGAGCACGACCCTCCGGGGACCTCGGGGAGCAGCCTGCGGGCCGCTGCCCAGGTGGGGTCGTCGAGGGACTGAGGAGCTCCAGTGCCGGATTATTGAATCCGGTGGCTGACTGCGCGCAGTAAACACTCCTTAAAGATGGAGCGCTTAACGGGAGGGTGTGTGTGTGTGTGTGTGTGTGTGTGTGTGTGTGTTCCTTGATTGTTAACTTGTTCGCCCACTTGTGCCCGCGTGCAGAGCCTTCACTCTCTGCTGCCAGCCACAGCGGCCGGTGCCACACACCTGAGACTCACGTCCTTGGGAGGGAAGGAGACTGAGGTTGACTTTTCCGGTGTGTCCGCCTGATCCGACGTCTCCGGCTCATTGTACACTCTGTGTTTTGGAAGTGTTTGATTGCAGGGTAGCATGTTTTGGGTTGTTCCTTGTAGGCCGCAGAACTTATGTCTCACTCCTAACTCGAGACCGGCTTTACAAACACACTTTTTTTTTTTTGTACGTTTCTAAGTATGTGCTCATACAAACTTTGAAGCGAAGTTTTTTCTTTCTCCCCAGCCTCCTCCCTTTCCCTTTTCTAAATAGAAAAGAATGTCTGGAGGGGTTGCTAGAGAGAAGGCTTCTCTTACAAAGTGTTTATGAGTCCAAGTGCATTAAATCTTTAACATTACAGGTCCATTTTGCTTACAGTGCCATTTTTGGTATTCTTACAAAGTCGTTACCCCATTTCAAGGAAAAATTATTTTTGGTTTGAAAAATGTATGAAATCAGCGTAGTTATTCCTAGTTTCTCCATTCACTATTAATAAATTACCCATGTTGATATTCGGATGTGTGGCGAGAAAGGTCGTTTTCCTTAGGATCTGTGTGTATGTGTGTGGGTGCGTGTGTAAGAATAAACTGTAACTATGTTTGTCTGCACTAGACTTTGAGATTTATATGGACTAATTTTGTAATTGAATGCTTGTGTGTCACATCCCAGCCCACTGGCTGAACTTTTGGGTTAAAGACTTGCAGAGAAGTTGGTATTTGAGAATTTAGCCCGACTTTTGACTGCAATTTTTAAAATATATTGCTTTCATGATAGTTTTACTTTTGCTAGAGAAAATTGCAAAGAATCATTAACTAATGAAAAACCCGGTTGAGGGGATGCATGTGTCCACCTTCCCCCATTCAGTTTCCTTGTTTTCTTCTGAATCAATGGAAACCTTTATAGGAGATGATTGTTTTAGAGTTTACTGCTGTTCTTCTTGGAGTCAGTCCTCTGTCAGTGATTATGGAAAGAACCTGTGATTCCAGGTGTGCAAAAAGCATCAAAAATAGGCTGTTAGCCATTTACTATATCCATAATGAGAAAATGAGGGAGAAAACAGGGCTTTTGATTTTCTGCAGATAAAATGAGTTTGAAGTTTTTTGTGTGATTCAGTAGATTTTAAAGTGTTTATCTATGGTTTTTGGACTGTATATGATACATTATAAAAATTCATGAGTAAAGTTACGAGAAAAGATTACACTTATTTTTTTTGGGGGAGGGGGGAGAGTAACACTGGACTAAATGGAGTGATTTTTGTAGTTTTAGATTTTTCTGAGGAATTTTAAATATACTGTGTCCCCTTAATTATAAAAACAGTTGAGGTACTCTCAATTTCTTAAAACCATTGAGAATTCATCTCTGTCATATTTTAAGAGAAAACTATTCAAATATGAAAAACATTGCCCTCTCCCTTTTGGTTACATATGGTGGATTTTATGCTGTTTTGCCAGGAAAGTTAACATATATTTTTTATTTTTGTTCATTTACAAATTAGATGGTATATATATTTTAACAAATAGATCTCAAGAGCTGGATTCAATTAGCAGCTTTTTAGGACATAAACATTAAAGGGTTAGATGGAAAAGATTGTTTTGACTGACTGGATAAATGACAGGGCTGTGTTTGATGTGCGTCCAGGAATTGGTCTGGAGCTGGTGCCCAACTTTTCAGTCCATCTTGAGAAGCCAAATAAAATATTTAACCTAGGCCTCGTTTTGTTTTAAAAAAAAAAAAAAAAGTTGATTCTTTGTTAAGACCTTAAGAAATGTTTGGCATACCTTTAGACTAAGTGTTTAACAGTTCATTTAGATTCGGATTCCATAATAGAGGAAAATCACTTAAAAAAAAAGGCAGATTCCACAGAGAGCTTTTATTTGGTTTATAATACACTGGGGCTGTAAGATGTTTTAAAATTATTGTTCTTTGCTTTATGTTAATACCATACCAGTATTTTAAATTTATAGATTATCTTTGATTTCAGCTTTATGAACTGCAGTTACTTAATTATATCCTTAATGTGGGATATAATGTTGTCCCTTTACTGAAGGTTATAAATGATTCTTGCATGGTGACACACTCACCCTCATATACATACACACACAAAGTGAAGAAGAAATATTTGAGCTATGAGATCTCTGCCCACAACAGATATTAATTAGACTGTTCCACATATTATTCCTCAGACCATAATCAATTAATGAACTGTTTGGTATTTGTTGATACCAAGAAGACAGTGCAAATTTAATCCCAAATTTGAGATTCCTTGGGCCATTAGTGGTTAAAATCTGATTGGGTTCATCAAGCTACTTCTGTTGTTCTTTATGACACATAATACTTGGTCATTAAAATGGGCTCTATGGTAAAGCTATCAATTTCAGCAAATATTTCTAGAGCAAATTGATCATAAAATGTACAATTTGTATACAACATTCTTATGAATATCTGATATGGGCTTTTCGTACAATGGTTTAGAAAAAATATTCTTTGTATTTGGTTATAGTAAAAAAATTTGGGGTAATATTTTTTATATCATTGTTTTGAAAACTAAAGCCTGGAAAAAGCAGGTTAATATAATTTCTAATATTTAAAATCCTTAGATATGGAGAAATAACAGATTACTTCTCCAGAACCTTTTTGTATTTTAAATGTTTTTGTATGCTGCTCATGTTATGAATTTATAAAACCCTTGGCAGTAATGAGGTTAACTTTGTCTATTGCTAACGGAAAATTAACTTTAAAAGTTTCATTTTAGATTTGCTGGTATCTTAGTATTGTTTTCCTGCATATTTTATTGATTTAAGGCTTTAAAAATTACAACTTGGTTATATCTCATAGGTTTGTAAGTAAGAATGTGTCTATATACCATAACGCCTTATTCTTATTTAGTGTTTTGAATATCCCCAATTCATTTTATTTTCTTGGTTTCTGAAGAGGAAGCCAGTCTGGCTTAGCTCCTTTCTTTTCTCAGTGTGTTATCTCTTCTGGTCTAACCTCATACAGGCAGTTGGACCTGCGTAGGTGCTTCATGTAGATTGGTTTTTATTGGTGAGTAAAGCGTGTTTTAATAATAGTCTACTTTTTCCCTCTTGAATTGTAGCTATGACAGCATACTAACATGTCATTTATTTAGCATCTAATTAGCATATTTAGCAGATAACTCAATTTTCAAAGTAAATGAAGGGGCTATATTTTAGGCACACAAGATTTTTATTTTAGCCATTTTTGATGTTTTTAAAAGATTTTTAAGGCTTTTAAAGATGTTATTATGTCTTACTCCTTTCAAATAGACCATCCTTAACGGAACTTAATGTTTTATTTATGATTTAACATCATTATGAGTGTAAAGTATTGTGCTGTAGTATGAGGATATCATCATGGAGTGAAGTCTTACTGCTTTTTCTCTCTCTACCCTCACTTTGTTACTTTCTCTAAGAGTGCTGGACCCTTGAAATATACTCTTGCAATTAGTATTGTAATATGTTTCCACATGACTGACATGTATTGAATGCTTATTAAGTGCCAGATACTGTATTAAGTTTACATCTATTATCACTTTTAATTCTCACAATAGCTCCAAGAGGTCGGAGAAACTTAAGTTAAGTACATGTTAGAACCTAAGCTGTCTATCTAGAAAGCCTGTTACAAATTTACAAGATTTCGTGTGGAAACAAATACTTTCCATTTAGTTGGAATTACCCCTGCCCCTTGTGATCCTTGCTCACTTTTTAAGACTTATCTCCAGGATT